AAGGATGGAACTTTGTATTTCTAATAATGGAGACTACTTTGAACATTTATTAAATAAAATTTAAAAATATAATTGCTTCTTTAGTTTTTTATTTAATGTTGCCATTACTTTTGGAACGCCCTTAGTAGATTGTGATCATAACATAACCGATTCAACTTCGATGTCAAAGAGTATCTCATAGATGCAGACTTCCACGAAAAATGTGTCCATCGTTGCAATTGATTGTACTGGCGAAACGATTTTACATCAACATTGTAATTCTGTAAATGAAATATTATTTGTTGGTACGGTATGTCGTTGTATATTGTAAGAATAAAAAATCATCTAGGAAACATTGTGACACTATTATTCTGAAATGTGAACTACTGTTTGTTTAATTTTATGCTTCGATATTTTAAGATATAGAAAATGGACGATAGTCATACTGTAGCTTGAGAAGCTTTATATCAGATCAAACTTCTGTAAATTCAGAATTCTTCAAAACCAAACGTAGATGAAATTTTGTTATTTTTTTCGATTTTGTCAAAATATCATCATTTACAGTGGTAGTATCACGTCACTTATCAGAATTTTCAACACTCGATCAAAATCTAACATTTTAAGATCGAAGTTGTTTTATGTTGAATTAAATAATATTGCATACGTATACATATAAGGAAGTTTCAATAACTTTTTGTTTGCTTAAATTGTTAATAAAATCGCACTGAATGCTAAAAAATAGTTCTATTGCCATTGGTTCAACGAGAATCTATCAGATATAACAAGATCTTGATAGATCGGTCTTTGTTTCAGTATTGATTTGAGTATGCTACTGATAGTTTATGAATGGTTAATCAAATTTAGTAGGAAAGGTTTGCGCTGAATAGTAGTATTGTGTGAATCTATTAAGTAAAAAACGCTGAAACAAAGTAGGAAGTTAAATTAGAAACTTATAAGTATGGCTTGTTCTACGATCATTGACACCCTGTAAAACAGACTGCTTTCAATACACTACATTGAAACTCTATACTGCTGTACTACTGTATTACTTGAGTCTGCATTTCAGTCTAACGATTCATAAAAATTCGTAAGCATCACGTGGTACTACTAATTCCGTTTAATTATGTTTAGTGCACCAATGACTACTCATTTTACAAAATGAGTATTAACCTTTTTTATCCCTTGATAGGTCATATTTGACCCATTCGAAAACACTCATAATAAAAGTGAAGAAGTGTCAGATCAAAAGGCTAATCAAATATAATGTATGCAGAATTTAGTAAGCTATCCATTCGTAAAAAAATTAAATAAATTCTTTTAAATCGTAACCACTACTGATGGATCCTGGGGATCCTGCTTAATTTTAACTTAACATCTTGATAGAAAGCGACCGGCGGTTTTCAGTAATCGAAACTAGACAATTAAAGCCAACTTTTCATAACGAAAAACCACTTCTGAAAAAGCTTGAAAGACCGGTTTTTAAGAGGATCTTTGGAAAAGCAGCTTCGTTCTCAGAAAACTAACATACAAACTTAGTCATTTTTTTGCATGCGTAGGTAGTCCGGACGTTGCTCTACCAAATTATGCAAGTCCCAGCTCTTCAGCTTTCGTCGTTCGGACAGGGCTCGCTTTCCCCGAGCGCGTGTCTATCTTCGAGCAGACATCTCTGAGAGTCTCAAAATACCATGGAGTATAGGTAATCGACTACGCTGAGCATAGTGACAATACTTGTTTTTGGGTAGAAATGAAAATAACTTCGCTAGAGGCATTTTTGTGAAAAACCGGTTTTTCGCCTGTTACCAGCCAAAATTAAAATGCTTATATCTCGGACAAATCTCATGCTCGCAAGGAAATTTTCAGGAAACGCTCAGAACAGCTTATAAATCATAACTGAAGACGAAAACAGTGAATTTGAGCTGGGCATTGGTTTAAGGTTTTCCAGAAACTTCGTGAAAAACCTGAAAGCCTCAGTGTTCTGCTGGACCACTTTTTCGACTTGATCAACAATATATGATGCCTTTTAAAAAGTTTTTCTTAGACGTAAATAAATAGATCTCAATATATCAAACAGGATCGGGTGTTTCTTCTTGATAGATGGTGTATTCATTTTCTTTAGAGCTTTATACATTAATTCTAAACGTGGACAAAAAGTCCCAAGTTGATCTTTGCATGGGTGTTTGATGAGGATTTCCTTTGGGGTTCTGGTGTACGTAAAATTTTTTGAATAAATCAAAACCACTGCGATAAACTTTCGAGGTTGATTTATCAATCGAATGGTCGGATAGTTGAACTGTATCGTCTAAAGATACATAACTTGAGAAGGATGAGGAACTGGAACTGGAAATTCGTCGGCTGTTGGCAATAAGGCTTTGAATTCCTGAATTTTCAAACGAAAGAAAGGATCAGCTAGAACATTATGTTTGCCTGGTACATAACGAGTTCTAACATAAAAGTTACATTTAGCTGCTTGCAAAGTTAAACGTCTCATTAATTTCATTATGACCGGACAACGCGAACGTCCCTTATTGATAATTTGGACGGTAGCAGTATTATCAGAATGAAATAAAGTGCGTTAGATGACCATTCTTTTTCCCACAAAAGAGAGGCAACGACTACAGAGTATAATTCCAAATAAGTGATACTAGGCTTAGAATTAACCAAATATTCTTGAAGTGAAACATTACTCCAGCTATCGTAACACCATTCATTTCCATAAACAATACCAAAACCTAATGAAGCCACGGCATCAGTGTAGAGATCTAGATCAGAAATCACCGTTAAAGACGGTTGCATAAAAATGACACACCATTCCATGATTGTAGAAATTTGAACCATATCATTAGATCATTTTTACATTCTTGACTAACTGTCACATTATGAAATCGTTGTTTAACGGAAGTAGAAAGTTTTATAAGACATGACAGAAACCAACGACCGGGTAATATAGCGAGCACGGCAAATTGAAGATGTCCAAGAAGGCTAAAAAGTTGTCTTTTATTAATTATGCGTTTATGTAAAACGGATTCAATAGATTCAATAATACGAAGTTTTTTCTCGTCTGGTAATATAATTTGAAAACGAACCGTGTCCAAAATTAATCCCAAATATTCTAATACGAAACAAGGGCCAAGTGTTTTATGTGGAGCTAAATTAATACCGAGTTTCTTAAACAACATTGTCATGATTGCCATAGTACGATCTGATTCACCATCAAAATGGCCGATTGTAAGAAAGTCACCTGATAGATGTAAAATTACTTTGATCTGATAATTCGTTTCCGCAATCCAACAGACCGCCGTTGATAAGGTATCAAAGATTTTTGGTGAATTTATTGAACCAAAAACGAGACTAGTATAGAAATAATATTTCTCAGCCCAATAAAAATCGAATAAATGCCATTGATCAGGTCGATGGGAAGTTGTTTGGAAGCATCCGTTTTGTCAAATTTCGAAAGATGAGATTTTGGACCTGATTTCAATATTTGCTCGACAGCATCATCATACGAACGTAGGATAAGGAAACTCTTCCTTTCGGATCATAGAATTGAGACTTTCATGATGAGTACTGTTATGCGGTGGTGACATATCTACGATAACTCTTGGCTTTTTGTTGTATTTACCGAATGCGATCCCAATAAGGTTTACTCGAAAATGTGTGAATAAATGGTCTGATTAAATACTTCTTTTTTGTAATTCAGATTCGATTAATTGTTAAACGATAGTAGGATGTTTTCTAGCAGATAAGAGATTTTTACAAATGAGTGTGTCTGTCGGTGGGTTTATAATATCGGTATCGAAACCTAAACGAAGACCATTTATTAAATAATCAACAAACTGACGATCAGGATGTTGAGTTAGTTGCTTTTCTAATTCCTCTATATTAACTGGAGTTGTTGCTTTAAACCCTATTGTATATTCTAAATAAATTAAATGTATGTTTGTTCCATTGTTGTTGTTTTTGTTCGTTAAAAATTGACAAACACAGATCAAACAAACAGGAATACGAGACTATCAAAAAGCACTAGCAGTAGAGCAGGATTATCCGAAAACTAACTGGTAACATAAATAATAGACCACAAAAGAAAGAAAAGAACACTACATCGAGAATATTTATGTATTTTATGTAAAAAGAGAGAATAAGCAAAACCTGACAAGAGATAGAAACCAAATTAATTATTCTGTTGATTTATTTTCACTTTTCTCGTTGTCTTTTGTTGCTGTTGGACATTTATGAACTGGATGACGTCCAAAACAATTTTTACAGACATGAACATAATCACATCCTTGAAGATAACAACCTTTCTCGCCGTTGTAATAATTACATACTTGTTTTCCTCCTTGTGGATCAGTGAATAAAGAAAAAGCGTTGATACTTGAATCAGGATTTTTGTTTGACTGTAAATAGTTATTTGTAGCAGCACTAATACGTGGATGATCTGTTGTCATTTGACGATTATCATTGTATCATCTGTTTCTAATGGATCAGAATGTGTAACAGTCATACCACGATGTTGATTTTTAAACCATATTTTTTCTAATATATCCTGCCTTGTATTAGGTGAAACAAGAATATCCACAGAATCTAATTTTTTGATTAGTTCAACGGCAGTTAATCTTGATTGTTGTTGAGATTGTTATTTGTTAACTTCATAAAGATCATGTAAATCATCAACAGGTAGATCATGAGAAACATCAATATGAATATCTTTTAAATTAGCAATCATTTCATCTTTTGTTAAACCTGTTTTGGTGTTATTGACAATTGTAAATGTAATTGTAATTTGAACTTGAAGTTATTGATGAATCTCGATTCAATTTCAGTTTTTGTGCTTGTTTGCTTCTTGTATTTACAGAATATTTTGATTATGTGTCCACATGAGAAACCATGCACAATAAAAGCATACGAATGAGAATCGAGTACATCAGACAATTGTTCTGGATAGGTTTTCTCTGTACTTGAATAATGAGAAATGAGATATAGACTACTATCGATAATACACTATCAATTAGATAGCATACAGACTCATAGGCGCGAGTTTATACTACTCATCATTCTAAAGAAAGAAGAATTCTTTACATGGGCTTATTCATGAACATTTGTCAAATTTCCAAATTTGACTCACTATCACTTTTGAAATTTGAAATACATTTGAAATACACGAATCCCGCGACAGAAACTACCTAAGAGGACACGAATAAGAATCATTTTGTTCATCTCACAGAGACTCTCAAGAAAAGGAGAAAACGCCTATCACCTATTTAAAAACACCAGTGAAAAGGGCCTCTTGAGATCACGATAAAAACTTGTATTGTTCTTGTCGTGAGAATTCGCGAAAAAAAGAAAAGAGTCTTCCAGTTTTTCCATGGATTATGCGAGTAAATCTCCTCACAAGATCTCGCAAGAGATTCAATGGTGGTTCTCCGGAGGGAAAAAATACATTATTCGTGTTTCTGCGGATAATACGGAAGGAATTAGCACTGGACATCACGAAAAGAAAATTCTCAGGTGTTTATGAAAGAACTAAAAGAATTCCTTCTTTCCTCGCGTGTTCTGGATGAATCTTGCAAGAATTTGTTTTTCCTTGTAAGTTATCGCAAAGCTTACGAGATTTTTTTCCAGTGGGATAGTCTCAACTCTGTAGCACAAAATCGCACTAAGAAACAGCAAATTTAATGTTGCTGGACAAAAAATGAAGTATCCTTAGTGAAAATATTCACGATCTTTTGGCAGCAAAGTTGTTTGGATTTTAATTCAAAGTAGATATTTTGAAAACCCAAATTTTACGTTGCAAATCACGTCAAGAAATTAACCAGCAATATTTATTCATCTTCGAGAAAAAAAGTTTTATTTCGGGAGGTGACTCCAAAATACAAGATTTTTCAGCTTCTTAAAAGCCGGTATCTTAGCACCCAAATGAGATAAAAACGTTAAATAGCCAGAAGCGAATAACCAGTTTAAAAAAATTGAAAATCTGTCATGTAGAACAGCTTTTATAGCAAAATATATACGGAACAACAACAGTACAATGGCTGTGCAATTCACTCATGTGTTTCTTATAAAGATATTCCTATATTTATTGATAAAAAAATCAAGTCTGACGACAAAATGATTAACGCGTTGGGCAGAGGAAATGGCGCGACTTTTGATAGGTTGCTTCTCAAATTAGGCTGTATCAGAAAGTTTCGTTCGGATGCTAAAAGATAGAGAATTTTTTGTAGATTTTATTGATATGTTCTTTTTAAAATAAGCATTTGACGTTTTTTTGTGCCAGTAAAAGTACTGGATGCCACAAAAACAAGTAAACGCGTTTGGATTGGAAACAATTCAACTTCTTTTGTTTTTTACAGCCTAGATGATATTGTTCGTTAATGTCTAAATTATTAGGAGTGAGTATGGATTTTGTCGTTTTTTGCCAGATACGGTTAAGGTTCTTGGCTATCACCTATACCCTTTGGTTAATAGCAAACAGCATAAGAAATATTAAACAGAAATACGCGGCTTGTACCCGAGTCACTGATAATCATATTCCCTCTTATGTCGAATTTCATATCTCTTGGGTTGGCGAACATGTGTTCGACAAGAGAGCTTGGATTATTGTTGCCAAGGATGTAAGTTCCACCAACCGTATAATCATCAAGTGACCATCTGACTATCCTCGCATTTCCCCAGTCACAAATAAATATCTGGTGTTCATCCTCATCAATTAAGATACCACTTGGCCAGTTTAACTGAGAAAGTTCACTCCCTTGGATACCGTTACCTGCAACTGTTCGTCCGACAGAATTTCCAATCGGGAAAAACGACTGGATGCGATGATTGCCAGAATCTGCTACATAGAGTCCGTTAGCTTTACTGACGAAAATCAATTGTGGGAAAAATAAGTGATTGGAATCGTTACCCAATACTCCAATCTCACCAGCAATTACGGTTCCATTCGTATCATTATCTGGCATGCTGAATCGTAAGATACAGTGGACGTTAAAGTCAGCAACATACAAATTGCGATCTTTATCCACCGTAATACCTTCTGGCGTGTTCAGACTTGCTACAACTTCTCTGTCTCCGGCAATATTATCTAATGATAATTTATAAACTGTGTTAAACCATTCTCCAATATATAAATAACGGTCATTCTCAATATAAAGAATGTCTGGTTCGTTAAAGCCACTTATCGATTCTATGTTTGTAGTATTTCCATCACAAGTATATCTAACCACCCGATTGTTTTTTCTGTCAGCTATATACAGTGCATTATTCGTGCTGTGAATGGCCAAACCATCAGGGTTGTTTAGTTCTGTTAGAGTGGATCCAGCAGTACCATTTGGATTGCCGGCAATCACTTGTCCAGTTTGCTTCCATGTTTTACATAATTTGGCTGATGAAGAGAAAAGAATGAGGTGGAGATGTCGTCAGAGAATGTACATATCATACTATTTCATCTCTGCTATTTCGTATTATAACGTTGACTTCGAGTTAGTTTAATTTTTCTTATTAAACGACGAATTAAAAACACGTCTTAGAGCGTTATATATATATAACGCAATATCCTCACAATGTGGAAAAAATATATTTACTCGGTTTTCAAACACCTGGTTTTCTAGAGATGCACAGGAAAACCTTCTCTCATAAAATTCCGGAATTTATTTTTTTTCACACTGTGACGATCATCAGGACAGAAAAAAGTGTTGAAACTGAAACTTTGAATTAATTTGAAGGAGAATTAAAATACTTATCCATCACTGATAGAACACCTTGTCAGATTCAAACCCGAGGAAAACTAAAGTTCCTCGTATGTCAAAGAAAAAAAGTGCTAGCGAGCTGACACTTTCAGGCTGATCAATAGTCTAGTAGCACTACTTCGCGTGAAAGTTTCAATTCGATACGCATTCAGATGGCGAAACGAAACGTTTTTCAGTTTCCGATGTTTTTGCTCGGGAAACGAGCAGAAACTCGCTCTAACTTTGTAAGGGTGTACTATGGGGACTAACTCTCTTAGGCTTTTTCCTAGTACATTGGATACAGTCGACTGATGAATGCACGAAGGAAATCAACAGTGATCATCTGGTAACGTTCCTTCGTTACTCTAAGCAACTTGTGCTAAAATTTCAGCTCCGAAAAATCTAACCTGCCAAGTTATAGGCGGAGCAATGTGCACGATTCTATAACTCGAAAAACGACAGCTTTTCAGTAGAACACGATTTTCTTAGAAACTATGCTCTAGAAAAAGCTGAAACTTTCAGAAAGTACTACCTATATGACCATCTACTCACTACGAAGTTTTTAACATGAAAAAGTTTCTCGGCCGAGCTCATGACTTAATGAGCTGAAAGCTGGGCGGTTTAATCCAGCTTCTGGCTTTGATTCCGAAAATGAAATCAAAAGTTTCGGTATATGCTAGGAGCATTATGAGAACGCCTGGTTTTCCAGAAAACCTTTCGAAATGCCAAAATTAGCAAAATTTAGTTTTGACTCGACATAAAGCTAGCGCGATAAAAACTCTACAGAACAAGGTTTTTTCCACTTGGCTACAATGTTCCTAGGCCGAGTTAATAACTTATATAAAACGTTTTTTTCTGCCTCATCTTATAAGAAGCGCAGATGCAGAACAAAAAGCCTCAATCTTTATCGGACACCCAAGAAGTTATTATAGATTCGCCCAGCTCACAGTAGATAATCAAGCGGACATTAGGTCAAAAAATCAAAGTGAAATTTTTTGAGATTCAAATAGTTCTACGTATACACTAATCGATGGCGTAATTTAATGTGAAAAAAGTTCGGCCATAGCGCTGAAGGTCGTCCGAAAAAGTAAGCTGCAGTTATTTGACGGTTTTTACAAGGCTTTATGAAAATATAGCCTTCTCTGACAATTTCCATTAGAGTTATAAAATGAAACACACATATTATGAAAAGCTGAGTCTATGGACTATCGACTGATTAAAAAAAATTGTTTTTAAAGCTTTACTGTTAGATGAAGAATAGAGTATTTCAAAAACTAAGTACTTTTACAAGATCCCTTTTCAGTGAAGTGTTTGCGCCAAATTCAGCCAAGGTGTACCGAGACGAAAACTTTCATAGAACATTCTTCTACGTGTGTTACGTCTACACTGCTTGCGCAATAACAGCTTACTGAGTTGCAGATTTTCCAAAAACCGTGATTTCTCAGAAGTTTTTTACATTTTCTCAGCTTGAAAGTGCTTTAGTTAAAAAATCACGCCGAGTTTGGAATCAGCGTGAAAAATTGCATCTGGATATGTGTATCTCGACTGTTTTAGTCGAAGGTTTACTAAATTTTCTTGAAAACAGAAATTTTTAAAGTTCTTCGTCGAACTTTGAGCTGAGATTTTTCTACGCCATCTGTCAGTATTCTGAAATACTGTGACGGAAGTAATTTCCGAAAACTAGTCTGCAGGCACTTACCATATGCGCAATTAGATTATGATGTTGGTTCAGAGGGAAGTTTCTGCTGAATGAATAGCAAAGATCCGGTAGATTCCGTTCAGTGTCCAGAAGTTAAAATCTCGATAGGTCGTTCTGAAATTAAGAATTTCTATAGGTCTCCGACCATGGCAAATCCAAAGGAGTCGTTTAAAAATTTTTAAACCGGCCTTTCGAAAGCTTTCCAGTGTTCGCATATCTACAAAGCCTCTAAAAAGGCCGGGTTTTTCGAGGACTCGCCGATCTCGAGAGAAAGAGTATGTCAGAAAACGTACAAAGGCTCTGTCTGGAGTCAAATAGAATTTGTTGAACCAAAATCTTCGCCTGTCTTTGGAAAACTGTTACAGCTATAACTCGCACAGTTTTTCAAATACTAACCTGTAGTTGGCGCAGGTGTTGTGCTTCCCAGTATCACTGCCGAATTGATTTGTTCTTGTGTAAGCGGTGTGTTTTCAAAAACTACATTCTTAAAAGTCACGTTTACGAAAACCGCTGTACCAAAGTTTGAGTTTGTCAGTTTTGTATCACTAAACAATACATCCTGTAACTGTACTTCGCTAAAATCAACGGTTGTAACGTTCGATCTGACAAACTGTGCACCGCTTAGATCAGACTTTCGAAAGTTTATGTGATGAAGTGTAGCGTCATTGAACTCAACTCGATGTAAGTCACAACTGGCAAAACTGATTTGCGTCAAATTTGTGCCATTAAATTTTGTTTCGACCAAAGATGATTGAACAAAGTTCGTCTGTTCAATACCGGATCCTTCGAAAGTTGCATCTGTAAGGTCAACATGATCAAAGGATGTGTTCAAGAGACGCACTTTGTCAAACTTGACACCTTGCATATCTAATTGAAATATATTTGGAGTGTAGCTTTTTAGCTGAAGGTTATCAAAGTTTAGTCCATCCAATCTGATTAGGTGTGACGGATATTTAGGCGAAAGACTGAATGTTTGACGAAGACTAAGAGAAGCAGTTGGGTCAATGACTTTTTCATTTGTTCCAATTAATCTACGTTCTTTTAGAAATATAAGACAGAGTTCTTGACGTTCTGCATCGAATTGTGAATGTGCAGCTCTATAGCGTGCATTAGCAAATACCCATGGAATTGCTTCTGGACTTAGTTCACCATGTCTGTGTAATCTATACATCTCAGTAATAAATCTATCGTACAGTTGCTGTTGTCTCAACAAACGCGCAGTATCCAGATCAGCTTGTCGATTTTTCTCACTTGTCTTTTGATCTTCAGCCGAGCTGACAAATGTATAAACGCCAAGGGACGCTCCCAACGACATTAGCCCACAACAACGACTATCGCCCATTGAGAATAGCCATAACATGGCACAATCTAACGTCTACTTCTTGTAACATATTCCGAATCTATGCTTTAACCTTTCAAATGGAGATTCCTTGCGGCAATTTGAAGCGACATAAGTTTATCAAAATTAATTTCTTGTAGGTTTTCTACTATTGCAAATCTAATGGCGTGATTACCTTCTGAGAGCCTGTTTTTCAACCTTGTAAAACTTTCAGCGGTTTCCGATTATGTGTTAGAGCCAGTGTTTTGCCGTAGAAAGATAGCCCGTTAAATGGCACGTATGGGTATCTACATGTACATATGAATAGGTGAAGAAAGATAATAGTAGATAATAGTATTTTATAGCCTGAAAGTAGTAGACATTTTGAGGTTTCAGCAACCGGAAAATATCCATGAGATTATAAGGAATAAAGCAAAATCACAGATCTTGCAATCGCATAATAGCCAAGATTTACTGATGACTAGGCTGATCCCACAGAACAGCTTTATTCTAATGTCAAAATTTTTTATTTTTATTTTTCCGAGAAAGGGAAAATTCTCCATTCTATGTACCAAAAACTGATTTATTGAACCTTCATAGATGAACTCAAAAGCATTTTCGATACCCTCGCAGTCTGCAGCCAGGTGGGCACTTGATCAAAATTGAAAGCGTACATTTACTAGATTTAAGTAGTGACAAATATACTTTAAAACATCCTCTACATAATGGAATAAGAAACTTTGTTCCAAAGCGCATAGACCATGAAAATCTAGTTAGCTCAAAATTAGTTTAAAAATCGTGATGTTTTCAGAAAAATTCTTATTTCACACGATTAAACGAACTGATAGTCGAATCAAATACATGTTGAAATCGGCAAGCCGAGCTCTAGACACTGGTAAAATTAAGTTTTAATTTGCATGTGTAGCTACGGTGGACAACAAGTAAGAGTTTTCAGAATGGCTAATTTCAGTAAAATGAGCGCCCCCTGTTATTTCACTATCATACTCATTCAACTTTGGCAGAACGTTCTACTCTGTGTCCTCTGTCATCACAGTTAGCATAAATTAGTATAAATGCTCCTAAACCGTCCAGAAAGGTTTTCAAAAACCTTGGTTCTTCATTTAAATTCCACTTTTTTCGGCTCTAAATCATTTTTTTGTAAAACCAATGGCATACTCGGAATCAGCGCATAAAATTGCGTCGCACAATCGTTAAACAAAACATTTTCTCGAGACAATGTGAACAGAGGTACTTCTCAAATGTTTTTCGTCGAAAAATCATTTTTTCGAAAAAAATACTTTATTTTCCTAGATGTGAGTATATAATTACTGTGAACAAAAGAAATGCGTTTTTGAACACGAAAGTTATAGTTGTCCGCCTACCATGCGAAAAATGCACACTGTGACCGCGTGTGAAATCTGTTTTTGTTACAGTGGAGAAACTAACCAACGGGTACTCCCAAAACGCCAAATTATTCGAGATGATTATTTTTATTCTGTTCCTTCTCGCAGACGCCGATGAAGGCATGTAACATTTTTAAACTCATGACTTTCAGATCTATTTTCCATACACATATATATATATTATAGTACGCACTTAATCATATAAATACATTTAAACAAGGGCTCTGTACAATCCTTGTATATATATATTTGAACAGTGATCTTTGAAATTAGAAGTGTATAAATATGTCAGAAACTGTGAATCTAGTCCTAACCTTAAACACAATAGCAACTCAGATGACACGTTATTTGTCTATATTCCCAGCGGCGTATCCAAGGGGGGCCAAATGGGCAATTCTTCATTTGGAGATCTGCCCATTGTAATTTTTATTAGTAAGTTTTTGCCCATTGAAATTTTACTTGGGAGATATACGCATGAAGTTTTTTTCGTGTAACGTTTAGTAAGATATATTTAAGAGTGTGGATAGACAGAATTATTTGTTTATTTTTGAATTAGATAGTAAATGTAATTGTTTTCTTCCGTCTGAATCCGACATACACTCTTTGCTTCTTCTTTCTGTGACGAATAAGAAAAGAATCGCTCTTGTATTTTAACTTATGCATGTTTTTTTCCTTGCTCGTCCATGTGTATGTGTCTACTTTTATAATACGTTCAGTCTACAATCTTCTCATTTTCGAACCGAATTGACAATAATAAGTTATATACTAAGCTATGTCGAATGAAAAGCGATCCAATACGTTATTAAACTATAGTTTTTCTTCTAAAAAAATACGTACTGGTACTAAAAATGTAACACTAAATTCAAATACACCTGCAACTACTGCAATTACAGCTACAACAACTAATGATGATTCCAGTTTGTTTTTATCCAGTGATCCTGAAGATTTAGATCAGTTGAGTGACGAAGTTAATTTTGGCGTCGAAAGTAATGAATTGAAAATGACTAATTCTCGACCCGACATCAATACAAATGATATCGGTTATCATGCATCAAATAAACTGTCAATTAATGATCATTTGAAATATTCTCTATTAACAAATCATTTTAAACCCGATAGAGAATATTCATTTCCAACGCTATATTCGGACGATCGTAAACATTCTCGTCGATTCATAATCAACTGGTTAATCGATAATTCATTTCTTGTTTATTCACCGTATATTGAAGGTAGTTATTACATAAATTGTGTATTATTTCATAACGTACAAGGGCAAAAATTAGAATTATTTGCCGATAAACCTTGTCACTGATACAAAGATTTGAAACATTTCACTACATCATTGAAAAGTCATATGAATTCACAATTTATCAGAATTCGACAGTTGCCACCGATAATTTTATACGTACATGAGTGATTCTGATAAAAAGAGTACCGTTCGAATGATGTAAATGATCCCAAGCGTTTCTTTTCTGAGTCTTGATGAATCGCCTCCGGACTTCTTGCATATATTCATCAACGTTAGGCTTATAATCGCTGCAAGTACGACTTTTCTATGTTTAATCGTGAACGAATTATAAGCAAAACATCCACGTTTGACCGTTATTTTGATGTTGTCTTTCTGGTGATTCA